CAAAACAACTGGCAGGAGGATGCACACTAAGCACTGTAGGGTGTTAAGCATGAGAACTGGGAATAGGGTTAGTGTGAGAAATGGAGTGTGGGGGTCAGGTGAGGTGGCTCATGCTTGTAATCCTAGCTATTCGGGAGGTGGAGATAGGGAGGATCATAGCTTGAGACTGGGTATGTGTGTGTAGGTGGGAGTTAGCAAGACCCCATCTCAACCAACAATCTGAAAAATAGCTAAAGCAGATAAAGGGATGGGGCTGTGGCTCAAGTGGTAGGATGGTAGAGTGCCTACCTAGCAAGCACTAAGCTGTGAGTTCAAATCCTAGTACCTTAAAAAAAAAGGAGTATGAGAGGTTAAAGAACCACAAAAAGGCTAGGAACAAAATAAGGATCACTTGATAATTGACATGGCAATTTTTACTCTCTTTCTGTTTTTTTTTTTTTTGTGTGTGACAAGGTCTTGCTATATAGCCCAGGCTGGTCTCATGAGTGCTAGGATTACAGGTGTGACCTACCATGCCCAGCCATTTTGACATTTCTTTCCTTTCTTCCTTCCTTTCTTCTTTCGTCTTCCTTCCTTCCTTCCCTCCCTTCTTTCTTTCCTTCCTTCCTTCTTTCCTTCCTCCCTCCCTTCCTTCCTTCCTTCCTTTCTTCCTTCTCTTGTTTTTGCGTGCTAGGATTGAACCCAGGGCTTCTCACATGCTCTATCCCGACCTCTTATTTTCATACTTTTTTTAAACGGCGATATTGAACTCTGTATCATACAAGACAATCCTCAAGCAGAAGGCACCGAGGAGAAGAGGTCTGGTCAGAAAGTCAAATGCTTAGAGCCGGAGGGGTGCCAAAGGTCGAGGGAGTTTTAGCAAAAGGAGAGTGTTGAGCGGGCCAAGAGCTTCAGAAAGCCAAGTGGAATAGGGACAATACCTGTGCAGTGACAAGCGCTGTGGAGTGGAGGGGAGGGCAGGGGCAGTGTGGGTTAGCTGGGGTGCTGGAGACAGGTGAGCGGCCAGGCCAGTTAATGGAGGGAAGCTGCCCTGGAAAAACAGAGGCCAAGGGGAGTGGGAGTGGTTTGTACAAAAAGAGAGACCCCTCCCTGCAGCCATTCCCATACCCACCTGCAGCAGAAAGAGATCCTGAGGGGAGAAGGGTGGAGATAAAAGACAGGCTGAGGTGGAGAGAAGAGGGAGGGAGGGCACACCCAACAAGTATTATTTTCCTGGTCATTTAACCTCAACTGAGAGGTCTTTAGGATATCCAGAGGACCTGAGCCCAGTGTCCTTGGTCTATGCCGTGCTTCCCCTGGAAAGCCTGCTGATGCAGATCGGAGGTCTAGCGATCTGAGGTGACCTGACTGTGCATGTGGAGGCCTGGATTCTGCTCTTTGCTCAGCTGGCTTCGTGCTAATGACACTGCATTTTTGTCAGCAGAGGCACAACTGGCCGGAAAAAACAGAATCCATAGTGCATGTGAGCATGGTGCGGTAGTGTAGGGAGTGTTAAGGCAATCACATAATCCAAAATAATTTCCATTGGTTCTCGGAATGCAGCCTGGCATTCTCACTTGAAAAGGGGCAATTTACCAGCTGGGAATTTATGTCACATGGAATCTCAAGCTATGCAGGGAAGAGCTGCTGAGGGGTCCCTTAGCCTAGCCCCTTCCTGTAGTTCCCTTATCTGTCACTGTCCAGGGACTTAGCTGCTGAGGAGTTATCCAGGGCACAATTTAAAGGGAGGAAGAGGTAGGTAAGGGTTATATTAGTTTTCAGATTTTACTTGGGATCTTTAAGATTAGATGTTATAGCCAGGTGCAGTGAGAAAGCCTGTAATCCTAGCTACTCCAGAGATGGAGATCAGGAGGATCATGGTTCAGGGCCAGCTTGGGCAAAAAGTTCACAAGGCTCCATCTCAACCAATAAAAGCTGGGTGTGGTGGCATGTGCACCTGTCATCCCGGCCAGACAGGAAGCATAAATAGGAAGATCACAGTCCAAGCCTTCCTGGGCATAAAAGTGAGACCCTATCTCAAAAATAACCAGAGAAAAAAGGGCTAGAGGCATGGTTGAAGTGGTAGAGCACCTGTCTAGCAAGTGAAAAGCCCTGAGTTCAACCCCTAGTACCATTCCCCCCCCAAAAGAAAAAGATTAGCTGTTACACTAATCATATATGTTTTCTAAAATTCACATTTCTCTTTTTGTGGTCTCCTATGGCTTGGATAGTGTGACTCTATACTGGATGTAAACCAGAGTGACAAGGAAGATAGCTACAGAGACTGGTTATTGAGGGCATCTGACCCAGTGTAGAGGGGGGTATCTCTGGGATCTGGTTGTTATTCTAAAGTCTATTTCTCTGCTACTGGAGTTTACGTTTAAGGAAATCAGTGAGTTTTACCTGCATTTTTGTTGTTTGTTTTCTTTTTTTTTCTTTTATTATTCATATGTGCATACAAGGCTTGGTTCATATTGTTTGTTTTCTGAGACAAGGTCTTACAAGGTAGCCCAGGTTGGTCTCAAACTCATGATTTTCTGATCTCTGAGTGCTGGGATTACAAGTGTGTGCCATCATTCTTAACCTGAGGTTTACTTTTTTTTTTTTAATTGTTTATTTATTCATATGTGTATACATTTTTTGGGCCATCTCTCCCCTCTGTCCCCCACCCCCGTTCCCCCTCCCCCATGAGATTTACTTTTAAAAGTCATTACTTATGTGGAAGTGAGGGATAAATATATTTCTCCTCTTTTTTCCTTCCTTCTTCATTCTTGATTTTTATTACTGCTTTTTTCTGGGAGCCATTTGAGCGCTTGGCTTCTCTACAGCTTCACCTCACATGACCTCTAGGACCTCTAACCCTCTAGAGCATAAAGGGAGCAGTGTGCCTCTTAGTTGGGAAAAGGTTACGGTTACAGAGGAGCTGGAAGAGAGAAAATGCACCCCAAGCAGGTGGGAGCAGTGTGAGTAAAACTCAGCTGGGCCAGGCCTAGGATCTGTAGACTCAGAAACTCACCTGGGCCAACTGGATTAGAACCACTAAACTCGATTTTTCTCTTTGACTGAGGGGACTGGGTGAAGGTAACTGGCTCAGGGCACCATGGTGAATTTGGAGTAGGATGGGATCAGAGCACAGTGTCCTGACCGAAGAGCCTTCCCCTGAAGTGAACTGGGCATTGTATATGAGACCTTTGTACCTCTGGCCTGAGTTCAAATGAACACTGATATGTTCTATTTAGTCCACATTTTACATAGAGTTATCCCTTTTTTTTTTTTTGGTGGTGCTAGGGATTGAACCTGGGGCCTGAACACACAGGCAGGTGCTTTACCATTGATTCACATCTCCAGCCCCATATCTTCTTTTTTATTGTCCCCTCCTGTTTCCCATGCTTTTTCCTGAATGCTTTGAGCCACCATGCAAGTAACCTTGTTTTTCCTCAATATTTGTGCAAGTATAGAGACATGAAACTCAAAGATTGCCTCATCACAGAGCTGCCTCACCAGAGATCTGTATCTTGTTTGTTTACCAAGAGGACAGAGATGTTTGAAATGATCAGCATTGCTTTGGGAGAGGTGGAGGGAGGAGGCTGCTGCTTCTGGGCAGCTGGTGGCTCACCTCCAAGGTCCTAGGATGTGCTCAGAGCTGACAGTCAAGTTTGCCTTTGTGATAACATGGAGGGGGATAGACTCAGAACAGGACAGGAACTTCCTCTTTACCTGTGCCCCAGTTGGGCCCCCAGCTGGTGGCCAGATTGCTTCAAAAAGATTAAACAGAAGGCACTTGGTACACCATCAGGCTTCTCCTCCCCACAGAGCTCAGGAGGGGAGTGTCTTCAGAGGTAAGACTTTACTGGGTGGGAAGCCAGTGACATTTATCTGGTGATTTACTTTTCTGTATCCAAAGTCTTTGCTCTGGGCCAGCTGCTCTGCCTTCACCTTTCAGGGTGCAGGGCTGTAGTGGTCCCTGCAGTGGCCCCATCTCAGGCAATGTCCTGCTCAGCTGAATTTCTCTACTACCCTCCACCATTGTGGATACTCCTTCCATAGGATTGAAAAGACTGACCTGTGGATGGTGGCTGGCCCTGACCCTGCTGGTTACTCAGTCCTGGGAGGGAGCATGTGGTTCAGGGCTGCTGTTCCTTCCTGAAACATCAAGGGCAGCTGTAGCCTGAGATGTTTCAATGGGTCCCTAGGGAAGTGGCTCTGCTGTACACAGAAGGGAAAGTGGCATGCCACATGTGCCTCCCATGTGCCCCAATGTAAGACTCTGCCTGGTGATTGATGGTGAGGCAGAGGAGACAGATGTCACGACACCAATATCTTTAGAGGACAAGTGCACTAAGTGACAGAGGCAGACTGTAGGGCAGGGAGAACATGTGATGCTGAAAAGCCAGTATCCTCCCTTGGTACACATCTCCACGTGGGATAAACCCACACGCACAGATGGATAAAGTAGTGTGCAGAGAGGTACAGACCCTGTCCCCTGCTGGGACCTCATTGACATGACTGGCTCTGCCTCTTAGAGGTCACAGTTCCTAGTGTGCCAGGGGAGGAGCATTGTCCTAACTGGGCCCTGACAGCCTTTCCCTGTTTTCAAATTCACCTATAAGGTACAACACATCCCAGAAAACCCTGATATATATTTGTGTGTGTATGTATATGTATGTATATATATATATACATATATACATATATATATGTATGTATGTATAAATAAAAATAATTTTTTTGAGATACTGTCTGGAGACTGGCCTTGAATTGGCAGTCCTCCTGCTTCAGCCTCCTGAGGGCTGGGATTACAGATGTGCACCATGATGCTTGGCTAACCTTGATGTTTTTGTATGGCTTACAGGCATTTATGGGATGTAGGTCCCTGTAGGAAAGCTGAAGTGGGAAACCTGGAAATGATCCTGGAAGTGTCTCCTCACTGACTCTGAGGCTCAGTCTTTCTGGTTGAGGATATTTTGCATGGTTGCCATAGAATTAGGAATAAATGAGAAAAGTCTGCTTTAATAGTCAGAATATATTTTGCTGAAAATACACATACATATGAATATCCCTTCAGAGAGGGTGCTCTCTGAGGAAGTCTTGCACAGTTTGTTACAACACAAACAGGGATGTAGCGGCCTCACTCGGTGGGAAACCAGCAGCAGCACTTTGGACTCTGGGCCTTCCTTCCCCAGGGGTCATCATCAAGCAGCATCTCTCAGGGAAGTGAGGGGCTGTGCCTGGTCCATGCAGCTATAACTCATCCATCATGGCAAGCAAGTCATCCCCCTTGCTGGCGCTCTGCCTCGGCTGCTCTGGGATCTCAAATTCTCCCATGATCCGAGCCAGCTCTTCCTTCCGTTGCTGGTCCTGTTAGAGGAGCAAGTGGGGAGAGGGAGGAAGAGGACTTTTCAGTAGGGCTGCCTCTTTGGGCAGTAGGTATTTCATTTTTCATCCCACAACTGGTATACATTTCCAGTCCAAGGACTGTATTTATAGTTTGATTGGAGAGAAAAAACCTTGCAGGTCAAGGTTATAAAACAAGGTGGGGACTAGGATTAGACCCTGTACGTACCTCCGTAGCCTGTATGTTGATGACTTCATAGGATAACTCTTCAGGCCTGGATACTGCTGCATGTCTGGATGAGATGGTAAGAAATTAGTTCAAGGTTAGGGTTTTCTTCTGGCTAGCATGGAAAACTACCTCTTGATAATTTGGCAACCTATCTATCTTCTCTGCCTCATCTGCCATTTCCCTTTACCTTTCCACCCCATATCTACTGATGCTCACTACATTCCAGGAAGTCAAGTCCTTTTATGTCTCTGTGCCTCTGCCGACCCTAAACTCTGCCAAGAATGTTTTCTCCTCCCTCTGTGTGGCAAACCCTAAATCAAATGCCAAGCCTTTCAATCTACTGGGTGGTCAGCTACTGTATGCTCAATTAGAGCCTTCATGACATGGCACTGAAACGACTTAATGTACTCTTCATTCATCCTGAGGACAGGCTATAGGTCCTACACTCCATCTTTGTGTCCTCAGCACTTAACACAGTGCCTGCTACACAGAAGTTAGTGAAAGAAGTTACTTCAGTGAATGGAAATGCCTTCAGTGAAGGCAGCCTACACCTCAAATATCTCGTTGTAAGGGGATCACATGACATTAAGTGTTCCAAAGTGCTTTGTAAACTAAAAGCACTGTGTAAATCTTGGTGAATTACTACTGTTATTGGTGTTGGATGAAGCTGTCTAAAAGACATCAAGTTCCAACTTCTCTCTGGTTTTTCCTTCTCTTTTTCACTGGAACCCAGTGCTTTGCACATGATAGGCAAATACTCTATCACTGAGCTATACTCCAGTTCCCCTCTGGTTTCTTAACAAAGAGACTTAGCATGATCATTTTGGCTTCTAATACTTCTCGTTAAGCTGTGTTCTGCTAAGCAAAACTTTAGAACTTCAGGAAGTTCCATTCATTTAATTCTAAAGGATTCCTTTAGGTTATTGAATTTGTTGGTATTTCATTTGTGATCATTGTTTTATTTGTTTGGTGGTATGAGGTTTGAACTCAGGGCTTCTTGCTTGCTAAGCAGGCACTCTACCACTTGAGCCATTCCACCAGCCCTCATTTGTGGTCACTGTGATCTGTATTTATGTGTCATTGGTTTGTAACTGTTGTGTTTTGGTTCTTATCACACTTAGGATTCTTATATATGTCTTTAAAGAACAGGCTTAAAACATACTCCTCTTCTTCATCAGTGGTAAAGAGATTCAACCGGAATCCTGGCTCAGGGCCGCTGGGTTTCTTAATCTCCATCCCTCCTATTAGCCTGGCCAAGAAATTCAGCTCTTCTTTAGCAAGAGGGTTTGGAGAAATGTTTTCCTGTAGAAACAGTTGCATCATTTGTAGGCACATGAAGGTGATCACATTTTCTGCTAAGGCCCCTGAGATCCAGGGAGGTATTATAAAACAAAGAAAAACAATAACTGCTTAAATTATTTCTGGGTCCAATTAAAGTGTAGAAAACAGGCTTAACCAAAAGAAAAATAACCCATATCAGCAGCAGAGGGAATCTAGCAACAAAGCAAAGCAGAGATTTTCATACTTTCAAGATGAACAGAAGGCCCCAAGGACCCACACTTCTCCTCAGATTACTTTCCTCCTAGGAGAGAAGAACACAGGGCTTCTTCCCCTTCAATCCAGTTCTGTCAGCATTAAAAGCAGCCCCAGACAAGTCTCCAGGTCCAGGAGTGCCCTTGCGAAGGAGCTCCCACACTGCCCTCTCGTGGTAGCACCCAGGAGTGCACCCTCCGGGCCGCTCCCTCCTTTCACTGTCCTACACTTTAGTCTTTGCTGTAAGAATTGGCTTCCAGCTCTCTCTAATCCATTTCCACCAGTTATCTAAAATAAGAGTTCTTCTCTCATTTCTTCCTGGCTTGAAACAACTCCCTGTGTCCTGTATAAAGATTGCAGTTGTTTAAGACCCTGCCTAATCAGTCCCCATGCCACCAGCCTTGGCTAGCTAGGGGAGACGAGCTGTTTCCCTGCTCCCCCAGCACTCCAGCAATGCTCTTTTGCTCTCTGCCTCTGCTCATCCTGTCACCATGGATATGTGCCCATTTTTCTTCCTCTGCTACTTAGTATTTTACCCTAGAGCCCCACTTCCATGTTGCCTCCTCTGAAAAGGCTTCTCGATCCGTCCCCTGCCCCTACTCCATGACAGAACATGTTCTTCCAGTACAGGATACCTTGTGAGCTTGTTTTCTACTTCACTACCTTTGTTTGCTTGTATTGCTGTATTTCCCAGGGAAATATAAACCCCTTCCGGGTGGTAACAATCTATGCCAGCTTTGTGCCCCGGGGTGCCCAGTCTATGGAAGTAGTTAGATAAGTGTTTGCTTAATAACTAAATATCCAATGATTTCTCCTACAGCTATCTTGTAGCTAGTTAGTGGAAATTTGGAAAGATGGAGTTCAGAGAAATGAAAACTGCATTTTGAGATTAGCTATTCACATCACTATTTAGGGAAGCATTAAAAAGGCATGCTTTAATGGTCAGCATACATACAAATGCTAGACTCATGGAGAAGCCTGCAAACAATGAGGGAAATGTTGGCTAGCTTTGAGATATACAGACTTCCCATCCTCCTCCCCATGCAGATTTCTGTACCTAGAAAGAAGCAGGGAGGGGAAGGGAAGGCAGCAGAAGCTCACTTGTGTCTTTGAGTCTCAAGTTCTTGGATGCTCCAGACATATGGTTTGAATCAGCATCGGTTCACCGGGACTTACGTGTACTGGTGTCAACAGAAAATGGTCACATTATCTAGCCCTTTTTACTGACTTCCTTCGAGTTAGCAAATATATAGCACATAGCTTTTACTTTGAGACATTAAATGGCATCCAGAAAGACGCTATGAGTTCAAAATACAACTGAGTGTCAGCCACTTAAATTTCACTTCTTCCTAAAGAAAGTCCCAGGGAAGCTGTGAGGAAATGCCTCCCCTTGAAAAGAGGAACATGTATCATTGAAAAGACACACAGCATTACAAGAAGGCCCTGTGTCTCTAGATTTCCATTGCAACAGAGGCTTTGGCTACTTCTCCACAGCTACGTAAAATGAGATATTTTTTCTGCCTCTTGCGTTGCTTATGTTTGGAGTTCTTAGGTGGGGTGCCCTTTGGAAGTGTCAGGTGCCCTGTGGTGCACTGTATCTGGGGGAAATGGCTCCAGGGGTCAGCAGGGACTTTCAGAGCAGAAGTCAGGGCTTTTTTTTTTTTTTTTGGCAGAATTGGGGTTTGAACTTGGCCTCACGCTTGCTAGGCAGGTGCTGTACCACAAGTCACTCGGTCAGCCCTCAGGATGGGTTTTTAAATGAAGTGACCTTCCTTGGACTTGAGTTCATTCAGAAAGGAAGAATTTGCTTACATATTAGTTCCCAGTTTCAAGACGCGGTCTCCATAAAGCTCAAAAGAACCTTCTTTGGCTGCAGGGACATAGTTTCCACCATGCTTGAATTCTATCTTCTTTACTTCTTCACCTTTGTTGTTGAACATTCTAAAATACAAAGTATGACATGATGGAATGTTCTGGAGGCTTCCTTATCCTTTGTACACTATAGGACAAAAAGGAATTCATATACTCCTTCAAGGTAAAGATGCTAATTGTGATAATAATAATATAGTAACAATAATATTCACTGAGCACATGTTATGTGCCAAGTGCTGTGTAAACACTTTAAAGCACTTATTTATCTTCTTTATCCCCACAGCAACCATTTAACAGATGAGGAAATGAATCCTGGGCAACTGGGTGGCTTGCCTCAAATTCGTCTACTAAGTGACAAAGCTGGGATTAGATGGTGACCTCCTTGATAGCTGAGCTTTACTGAAGAAAGGATGGGTGAGCAGAGCCTGAGGGGCTTGGCAGTGCTCAGATCTATGCAGTAGTCCATATTCTGTTTTCATGGCACCTCTAGTGCAGCTGGGTAATTAGTGTGGAAAATTCACCTGATGAGTCCAGGAACTTCAGTTCCCCAAGGAACAGGCCCGGACACTGGCAACACAAAGCGTCCATTAGAATTCTGAACCTTGTCCTTTAGAAATGTGGACACCTGGAAGAAAATACATTTAGTGTCATTTTTCTGGGTATGTTTTCATGGATATTAACGTTCTGAGGATGAAGTGTGTAGTGGTTTGGGAATGTTGCCTAGTGACTTTATAACACTAAGAGAGAAGGATGCATCATAACTAACATGCAGTTATAGTGTTTTTACAAACAGGGCTACTTCCAGCCTTCACAGTAAACCTTCCATGTGAGTTGTATATCCCCATTTTTTTTTTTTTTTTTGTGGTACTGTGGTTTGAACTCAGGATGTCAAGCTTGCAAAACAGGTGCTTTACTGCTTGAGCCACATCTCCAGTCCATTTTGTTCTGGTTATTGTGGAGATGAGGGAGGGTCTTTCCAACTATTTTCCAGGGCTAGTCTCAAGCGACGATCCTCCCAATCTCAGCCTTCCAAGTAGCTAGGATTACAGACATGAGCCAGTGGTGCCTGGCTATATATCCCCATTTTTAAGATGAAGAAGTTGAGATCAGAGTAAAGTGACTTGCTCAAGGGGTAATGGTAAGAGGCAGGGCTGGGATTCAAGATCAAGGTCGATTTCAAATCACACCCATTCCTTGGTGCCCTGCTAACTTTCTATGCCGCTATCCACAAGCCTTGCATTGCAAGAACCTCATTTTCCATTTTATAGATAAGGAAATTGGTGGCTCAGAGAGAGGTTAAGACATCCAATTCATAAGGGCAGAGCTGAGGATTCAAACTCCTGTGTTTTTCAATGTTGGATATTGAGCTCTTAAGCCCATCCTGGCTTGGTAAGAAGTGTATGGAGCAGGTGGATCCAATAGGCATTAGTCTCTTATGTGACTAAAAACAAATATTGTGCTTTTGCATGTGCCTATTTCTACTCCCTTGTTTGTGTGTTTGGTTTTGTGGTTTGGCCACTCACAGTTTAAATCCCAATTAAAATTGTAGTACTTAATTCATTTTGCTGGATCTTAGCTTCCTCATGTAAAAGTAGAGATAAACTTGAAGGTCCTTCTACAAATTTATGTTAGTAATATCATCAAGGATAAGCATTTGTTGTATGCAAGACAGTGGAAATGCAAAGTGATAAGAATTTGTAAGCTGGCAATCTGGCATACTGATATTAGACTGGGCCCCTTTGTTCTGGGTTTCTGTGTGTGTGTGTGTGTGTGTGTGTGTGTTTGAACCCAGGACCTTGTATATGCTAATATGAACTCTACCACTGAGTTACTTCCCCAGGCTTGGCTGGGTGTTTTTGGGTTAGTTATACAACCTTTTTGTGTATCAATTTTCCCTTTGGAAATCTGTGGGTAATAATAATGTCTACCCAATGGGTTAGTGTGAAAATTAAATCAGATAATGTGTAAAAAGCAGGGACAGTTGGTATAGCTAAGTGGTAGAAAACTTGCCTAGCATGCAGGAAGCCCTGGTTTGATCCTTAGGATCAAGACAAAAAATCAGAGTGTGCACATAGCAAATGCTCAATAAATGGTAGCTTTATTACAGTCTGCTTGGAGGGGTGGTGCCCTCCCAAGCTCAGTGGTAGTGCACTTGCTTAGCATGGGTGAGGCCACAGTTTGATCCCCAGCACCACATAACAAAAAACACCGTCTACTTGGACACAGGCCATAAGCATAACATGGAAAAATGCCACTATAAAGCAGCATGTGTAGCATAGCATATGAACTCACTGAGGAGGACTACAGGCTGGGAGATGGAGGGGTGAATGGGTTTGGAGGTTGACTTTGAGGAAGAAGGTTGGTGTGGAGATACTTCAGAAATAGAGATGAGCAGACACAAGTCATGTTTTGAGAGGGTGTGAACTGGTTTTGTCAGGATGTTTGGCTGATGACCTTTAAGGAATTTTTAGCCTTGAGATTTTGTGATAAGGGATATAAGTTTAGCAAAATGGAGAAAGCAAATTTGAAGGGAAAGGTAGAAGTATATATGGACCCTTTGTTAGGAGTTAGGGGTATGGGGGATTTGAAATATACAGATTTAGGTCATGTGCTCCTGCGTGTGACCTGAGATTGCCCTCGGCTGCATAGGACCATCCTTGCTCACCTCTCCACGGGCTTCAGCTGTATGAGTGACTCTCCTGGGCTTTCCTCTACTTCTCCGTTTTTTCCCCCAGGCAGTCTCACCTACTCCCACCTCCAGTGCTCACCTATTGCTGATGGCTCACACATCTTGAGCTCCATTTAGCCTTCTCCCCTGGGTACCTGTCCCATCTCTCCCATTGTCCCCTTAGACATGTGCACCTTTAGGGTCCACAGAATGCACCTTGAATTCACCCTATTGAGGAAAAGGCTCATCTTTGTCTTCCCGATCTGCTTGTGCTCCGGGATCCCCAGTCTTGGTGAATGCTACTACTGGCTCACTAAATTAGCAATCTGAGCCCCCTTCCTTTGTCTTCTGCTATCTATTCAGTTACTATACCCTGTCAATCTCACATCCACTCCTTGAATCTGACCCTTTCTCTTTATCCCAAGCACTGATCCCTGCTGCACACTTTCATCACCTCTGCCAGAACTGGTCTCTCGCCTTTCTTCTCACCTGCTTTTAGTTCACTCTCCATTCTTTTGAACTCATATCTGACCATGTCCTACTTAAAATCTTTCACTGGATCTCTGCTGCCTGCCAGATTATGCACAGCTGCCCTTGTTCCTCTCTGTAGCCATGTTCCCAAATCCTGTGTTCCTCATACTCAGTTGTTCGCCCCTCTGTTCCCCATACTAGGCAGTCACATGCCTCAGTGGATTACTGAGCCAGCGTCCTTTGTCCTTATTTTCTCATGGGTCTGATAAAAATCTTTTTTTTTAAATATCAGCTCTTCTATGAAGAGTCCCCAGATCTCTTAGGTAGAACTGACCACACTCTCCTTCATGTCCTCTCTTTACACTCTTCTATCTCAATTAAACATCAGTGCTTCCCCCTACCCCAAATGAGTTCCTAGAGAAAGAAGAAATGCAGGTTGCTGCATTGGGGCTGCAGTGCTGGATAGCACATCTCCATAAGCAGTAACCTTCCCTAGGATGATGGGCAGGACACTGGTGGCTGAGAGAAGAGTGGGCAGGGACTTAGATGCTCAGTACACATGGGTGAGTGGACTCTGCAGTTAGTTTCAGCAGCAAATGATGAATATGGGTCTTTGGACATGTGGTTGATAGCGTGACCTTACAGGAGGAGAGCTCAGTTTTCGAGGATGGGAGAAGGATGACCTGAAAGTAAGGGGGATGTTGGCAGAATGCTGACTCTGCTTCTCACATCCTTCCTGTGGCTGAGGG